TTCCCCGGTACTGGCACTAAATGAACAGTCTCACAAATGTTGGGAGGTGTGTGCGACAGGTGACAATGTATCGTAACCACTAGAATGACAAGTTAATTTTTTTGGGTGGGTAGGTGTCATGAAAGCATGGTAGTTAACAAAGAATTTATTTAAGTGTAGGTAATTAATTTTTTTACTCTCATGGGATCAATGTATTGTGTTGTATTGTAGTGTACCTATTACATAATCTGTAGTCTTTACTTGCGAAACCCATTATTTTTGTAATTAACCTTTATCTGTCACCTTGCACCTTGCACCTTGCACCTTGCACCTTGCGTCCCTTAAATGTATTTAAGACTTTTGGGTGCTTTTTTCTAGGAGAGGTTTTATTAGTTTTGAGCGAAGGGCGTTGGGCAATTGAAAGGAACAGAGACTCGTTTAAGATCAGAGCACATTATCATCTCTGAAAAGTCATTCAGAAATCTATTTCACGACAAATAATCCATTTTCCGGGGAACGTTTGTGCACAGAGAAGCTGTCAGACGGTAAGCTGACGAAGAAGTGAGGATAACTGAATTAAGAAGAAAAGTCTGAACGATGGTGAAATTACGAGAAGTTGTCCGAGCGAAGAGGGAAGTATGCAAAGTTGGAAACGGGAGGTTTGTTTGTGAAACGGAAATTCGGTTTGTCAGTACGTAATCTGTTGGTGGAGCGTGGGAGAGTTGATGACAAGTCAAGAACACGGACGCAAGGTGAACTGAACTGAACTAGTAAAAACTTCTTTTATTTAATAATACTCTTGTAAATAGATTTAGCGTACTCTAATTTTAAATTATTATATTCCTGTAAATTAATTAAGATAAATAAGTTAACATATTGTATTAACGTGATTGTTAGTTACTGTCATTGTCTTTATAAATATTTGTAGGCCTACGTTTGGTTGTGGCGTGTTTTCTCGGGTTTGTTTATGCCTGGTGTTTTTTGTGTGTGTGTTAGAGGGGGTTCACCTACTGTGGCGCGGTATCGTCACAGTAGAGGGTCAGAGAGGATGGTTGCGTGACAGTGTAGCATGAAACTAGAATCATATTTCCCCTTAGGTGCGGACTGCTAGTGACGCAGACGCTTGGGAAGAGAGAGTGGGTACCGAAATGAACCGCAGTATCTCGCTTATATGATGCAAGGGCGTTGTCAGGTGGAGAGGGGAAGTCAGGGGTGCTTTAGACCCCACTCTTAGTGATGATTTATGATAACCTAATAATAGATAAAAAAAACAGCTTGGTGAACCGCCAAATGCTGGTTGTGCCCTTGTACATAGCGGGAGGTACAACAGTTCCTGCATACCAAGTTTGCGCCTTC